GGAAGAGAAGAGACAAGAGAGCTAGCAGCTGATAAGTCACAATCCTGTTTTACGAGGAGAAATTAGTTCACTTGGATTATCCAACTCTAAAGATGTGACCTATGATGCGTCAGAATACATAGAAGGGGATGAGAAGCGGTAAATATCTGAAAATGTTGCTTCTATCTTACTCTTGTTCCTTTATAAATGGGTTTTTTTTTTTTGGGGGGAGGGGGGGGGGGGAGATTGCTTCTTCATGACAAATCAAGTAGCATTAAATAACAATTTCGACATAAATAGAAGGAAACAAAAGTTCGCACGCATAGGTAATAGGAATTACAGTTGATAACTCCATATAATTTATTTATGTTTCAAGGAAGTTAAATCATGGCAATAAGTTGAACATATTGATACCAAAAACGATACGTATTAAACTCTCCTCAAACTACAAAAATCAAATATCGAAATCTATGTAACTTCTATCCATTGGAGTTACAATGTTATAATTCTGAGTGTTAGACAATGGTTAGATTAATACGTCTTTATACCTGTGGTATTTGACCCCTAGAATGGGATGAAAATGGTACTCAGTTTTCAAGGTTCTTCTTAAAAAAAAAAAAGGGAACTAAAATTTTAGATTCTGTACACTTACTATAAAGAGTTTGGGCTTCATCATCGAGTTCAAGGAAGAGGGAACTTAAATTTCTTCAGGTGCTTGATAAAAAACAAAATGAACAATCTCGCCTTCACGGCTGAGGATGATAGTAATCTTCAAGGACCAGTTCACAATAGTGGCAGACCATGAACAAGCCTTAAGCAAGAATAACCACGGGCTTGATTAACAAAACAGAGAATAACATAACGTGGAGGTATGTGGTTTATGGGATTCGACAGTATGTCCTTTCTACAGTTGGAGCCAGATAAAGTAATGTAATAGAATCAACGGCTTCCCTTCAATATTCTGCATACAGGCATCTAAAGAGAATCACTAATATAATGTAGAGAGTGAATAGGTTTAGTACAGTTATGAACTACTAGTATTATGGATTTTGGCTCCTTTTGTTTATTTGGAGATCTTTTTGTTCATTTTCAGTTGATGATATCTTATAATCTTATCAACCAATGATTACGCTGTTATTTCATCTGCAACAAAATATCTACTCCTATTAAAAAAACTATTGTTGGAGAAAATAATAAATCCAAAACTCAGCTTAGTTGATCCAACTTCAATCTTACATCGAAGAAAAATTAAAAAATAAATACCTGAAAGACTTGTATTCTGCGATTAGCATTGGATGAAAGTTTCAATAACTTCTTAGCCTCATACTCTTCAAGAAACGGTTTGTACATTGAGTGGAATAGATCAAATTGGCCTGTTACAATCTTCTTCACCTGGATTAGATAGCAAATAGAGGAATCTTGGTGTAAGCATTAGGCAAATACGATGCATCTACCTTCCTTGAGGAAAGAAGTTGCGCCAATTACATGCAATTTACATGTTCGCCCCCCGTCCCTTGAAGGAAAAAAGCAAGAAAGGATATATGCAGGGAATATTTCGTTAATCTCAGTAGAGGAGACAACGATAACCATATTAGGTTAAATCCAGTCAGTGAAATGGATAAGCATTGGGTGGATCATATCACTAACATGACAGCTGCAATTAATTTCACATTGCTCAATAAAAAGGCCATGAAGAAGTTAGGTTGAAGTGTCAACCCTAAATCACATGCAACCACCACAGTAAGATGAGGGGACTATTCTGTGCATTTTTCTAAATTACTATAAATGAAAGAATAACTTTCATATAAGGCAGATATTTCAGACAAAATTGATCATGTATCTCACCAGAGTGGTAAAATATAGAATGATTTTACAATATACTATATACAATTGACAACATTAAGCCTTTCCTTTTCTCCTGCTCAATGATCAAGGCAGTTTTCATAAAGTTGAATATGACAAACAGTGAAGCGGAAGAGGAGGAGTATTTAAAAACATAATAAAAACAATCTTGTTCAAGCAGGTTGATGCAGCAAGTCAAAGTCAAATTCGACACTCATGGAGGCATAACTCATGATCAACTCGTTATACCATTATTATGCACAAAGTAATCCAAAATCTGCAACCAAATTGACATATAATTTCAGTAGATCGCCCAATTGATGGTATGGTATTAGGTAAGCATTGAGCCTCTATATATGGAAGACATCAGTAGTTCCAAAATCTCGACAAAATGTTGCAGTCAAGGTCTACCTTATTTTTATCCTCCGCAAATACCATACGTAGGTCACCCACATATGAGAGGCTACACACCTTGGAATACAGATCTTCCTGCAAGAATATACTTCAATTATTTCAGTTGTTTTGACCCCCAAAAATAACTGGTTAAAAATGAAAGAACTAAACCTCTGTGAATTCTGATGGAAGAAGGAGAAGAGCAGCTGATATTGCAGCTCTCAAGTTAACAGAATTGACGTTTGCAACGTCCAAATTATCTATCACTATATGAATCTGCATAGAATGCACCCAAAGAACTAGGTCACGGATTAAAATTATGAGTAAAATAGAGGACATGGAAAAGAATGAGAAAGATACAACACAACAATGTCAACAGGCTCTTATATGAATACTCTCAGAAGCTGCAGTCCGTTAAATTAGACTAACCAAGCAAGTCTCTAAAAGTAATAAATATACATTCCGATTTAAGAAAGGATTGTCAGTTAAAAAAAAAAGTATAAATAAAAGATTTTTTTTAAAAGCTTTGTAACGGGCAATATGCATCACAATTTTTTTTTTTGGGTTTTTTTTTTTTTTTTTGAGGGGGGGTGGGGGGGAAGCATCAGTGTTATGCGCTTAAGAGAAACAAGTCGTTGAGGCCTTGTCTTTGGCATTAAGTCTATCATAGCACATATTTGGATCAAAAAATTGGAGAAGACAATGAAAATTATGCTAAAACTAATGCTACAAATTTTCTGTTGAACAACAGAGACAGATTTCAAATAAATAAGTCTTTTAGGGCACAAAAAAGAAGAATTCAGCCAACTAGCACCGTTCATTACTTATTTGTTTATCTTCACCACCATTTTACCTTTCAATTAGAGAATCGGAGACAACTATCCATTTATTGATTAGACATCTGCAGTTGCATATCGGCACTTCCAAAACTAGGAACCCCAAGTCAAACAATTGTAAAATGTGAAGATAAGGGTAAAGAAGCAAAGTAAACATACTGGTTTTTGTAAACGACCGCTCAAGTAAAACCTCTCCCAACAAAGTACATCTTGAAGTAAGTTGTCAATTCGAACAACCCCGTATTTGAACATCTGTGTAAATTTGTTAATCAATTAGGGAACAGATGACATTTATCACGATTCAGCAAAACTTAAGAAAATAAATATTCACATGATGGGCAATCTAAAAGGATGCCAACATATAAAACTGACAATTGTGAGCTATGAAATATGTGATGTGATCATGAGTATTTAGTTCGTTAACTTTTTTGTTTTTTTTTTAAACCAACACTTGTTCACATAATTGAGTTTTCAAGCTAGGAGTACCTTTCTATTCCAGCTAACAAAAGGGTTGAAATGCACGCCAACGCCAATTTTATCCGCAACTTCGGTAACCTTACATATGTTATCAAGATTTAGCATCAGAATAAGTGGTTAGCATAAATCAGTTCAACTATACATGAACAGAAAGAGAGAAATACCAGTCTTGCCCCGCCAAGGCGCACCATCCACGATGCATAGTGATTTCTGTTCAATTTCAGGTTCTATGCGGTGCCGTTGCACAGTGGAGGAAAATGGACAGAGAGAAAAAAAACCAACTCCATAAGGTATACGTAACACTAGTATAAGTGCATAAGACATCATATCATATATTACCTCGGAATGCCACCGGTAAGGATCTGACACACCAAGAATATAGTCTGTCATGGTTGACTAGAAAACCAATATCTTCAAAATTGACAGCGAATAATTCGAAGACAAGATTTGATAGGAAATAATGAAGAAAACTTGTGAGTTCAAATCAGAAACGAAACCTTGGCTTGGTTGTTTGGATGAAGAGATGAGCCATAGACGCAGGCAAACTCTACAGGAGGAAGGATTTTGAGAAAACTTCTAAATTCTGATTTGTTCTCGTCCTCCATGATGTTACTGTATCAAAGTTCAAACATAAATTGACAGTCACCTCATGCCAGCACATGAAAAATTCACATGAGACACTGGTTTCACAAACGTATTCCTAACGATCAAAGAAGGATATTTTATTTGCATGCAGATGAAATAACAGTGCTAGAAAGTGGAACTTCAACATTCCCCATTAAACAAAAACGGTTCCGGCGGAAAGGGAATTTCTTCGAACACTTAATGCGCAAGAAAAAAGCGGTCGATAAATTTGGAACGGCAAAAAAAATGGCATCTCTGGTGAATCTTTGTGAAGGTTCTTCCTCTAAAGTAGAGTGGCTTCAATTTGATGCTCTCAACCTACCTCTCATATGTGGAATCGCCCTCGGTATTGGTGTTTGTGACAACATTCCTGAAGCTGAGATATTTATATGGCCTTCGATTAGCTTGAAGAACCGGATTTTGCAAAGTATGCGTCCTCTCCTCCATAGGCGCCAAGCTGCCAACCCTGGTTCATATGCGTCCCATTTTCAATCAAAAACGACCAGTCCAAACTTTAAAAAGCAATAAACCAATCAATTGCTTTTGTTTTCTTGACTATTTTGCAATTGATTAACAAACGAAAATGGCTCCGAAAAAAGTAGCCTTGGCTTCTGGGTCTATTTTCAAGTCGGGTCAAGATCAAGACCACTGGAACTCCTTGTCCCCCCCCCCCTTTTTTTTTAAAAAAATTTCTTATGGATAATAATTTTTATTAATTATGTTGTGATTATTATAATTATATTATAATTCCTTATAATTTTCATAATATTATATTTTTCTAACAATCATGTGTTTTGTCAATTTTGCCGTATCTTCCTACTGGCTTTGTGAACTGATTGGTTTTGTAGAAATTTTGTCAAGTAATTCCACAGAAATATTCTCAGCACTTCAATCAACAAAGCTCAAAAAGACTACTCTTTTCTTCAAAAAATCAAATCTCTATGATGGGAAGCACTTCGTGTTTCACTACCATCGCTGTTTTCAAACCTCAAAATCCTTCTCGACATTTCTCTAAACTCTCTAACATTGTCTGTTGTCCCTTGTCTAAATCCCCAAATTTGCTCTTCTCTACCTCCACAAGTTCCGATTCGGGAATCAGATTAAAGTCAGCAACATTGTTGCCAAGGGCGACCCATTTGCAGGTATCAGAAGACGCTCCCATAGAAGAATCGGAGCCTTCATCTCCTAAAACAATTGGCCAACATGACCTATTGATTGTGGGTCCTGGAGTTCTGGGTCGTTTGGTAGCAGAGAAATGGCGGGAGGTACTGTGCTACAGTTTCATATTTCTGTAGTGTTTGTCACTTATGATTCCTGCATGCAGATATTTCTTTGTGCTTTGAGATAATGTGATGATAACAAGAGCGTGAGGGCATAGATGTGACTGAAACATGAAGTTATGACTATGATTTATGGTCTATGAAGCGCACGTAAAAAACATAGTACTGTGGTGTCAGAGGCTCAAAGCGCACTTAGACCCCATTTTCAATTTAAACTAGCTTCAATTTTAGAGGGGAATTCAGAAAAACAAATAAACAGCTCAGTCGATAAATAGTAAAGTAACAGTATTTGTTATTCTACTTTAATTTCATATATATTGCTCTTGCATTCTACATGTTTGTCATGTTTGCCCTATTCATATATTGTATCATGTCTGTTTTCGTATCAGTATTAGCACTTCTTTGGTTACGAGCCCTTTCTTCATATTTATGGTGAGGTGAAGTGTTATCATGAAATTTTTTGGCACTCTTAACATATGTGCATGCACGCAGGAAACTCCAGGTTGCCAGGTTTATGGGCAGACAAGGACCACCGATCATCATGATGAATTGGTTCAAATGTGTATCAATCCGTCTCTGAAATGGACGGAATCTACTAACAAGTTTCCTTATGTTATTTATTGTGCTCCACCTTCCCGGACCTCTGACTATTCTGGAAACATCAGGTGAGAAGCAGAAGTCATTCCATGATTTGATGGAAGTGTTATGATTTTGTCACAATTATGTGTTGAAATGTTAACCGCTCCAGCAAGCTTAAGGCTTGAAGTTGGTTATCTTGTTCTGTTTGGGAACTTTTCTCTTTTATGGGTTAGAACTTAAGTATTCTGCTTCACTTTGTAAACAGTCTACTATGAGACTACAGGTAAAGGAATTTGTGCTCGCGTTGATGTATAGTTTTGATGTTAGTTTATCTATACATGGACTATTGTTGTCCAGATCAACTTTCTTCTTCATTACAACTTGGTTATCACCAGCCTGAAATAAAATGACACTCGCGTTGATGTGTAGTTTTGATGTTAGTTTATATATACATGGACTATTGTTGTCCAGATCAACTTTCTTCTTCATTACAACTTGGGTATCACCAGCCTGAAATAAAATGACAATTACTAGGAAAAGGAAAATGTGCCTTAGTGTTGTGACTATCATATTATGAACCCAAACATTGATATTGATTGTTGATCAATCAGGCAAGCTGCATTCAGCTGGAGTGGTGAAGGTTCCTTCCTTTTTACATCAAGTTCTGCTCCATATGATCGTAACGATAATGGACCATGTGATGAGGTAGGTGACATATCGAAATATCAGTTTTTTGGGCCAGCTATCACCCTTCCTTTCTTTTTTTCCCTTTTGAATCAAGGAAATTATGCTTGGCTACTTTAAGAAATTGGCTTCTCTTTCAAAACAATGTTATTTTGACCGCTTTGATTTGCGCAAATATACTTGAACGTTTGTTGACAGTCCTTCACATAGGATTTTATATACCCTCCTTGTAGGATACTCCAGCTGTGCCGATTGGGAGGAGCCCCAGAACAGATATTCTTCTAAATGCTGAAAATGTGGTGCTGGAGTCTGGTGGTTGCGTTCTAAGACTGGCAGGGCTTTATATATCCTTTCTGGAATTCAAGATATTAGCATTACAAGAACTCTTTAATCTGAGTTGTTATTGATTTTTTATTTGTGTCTCTCCCCAACCTTGACATATTACACAAAGCAGATAGAGGTGCACACAATTACTGGTTAGAAAAGGGCATTGTAGATAGTCGTCCTGATCACATCCTGAATCTCATACATTATGAGGTCAGAGTTTCTTTCATCTCCAGCTACTTTTCTGTATTTTATGAACAATGATCTGGTGTTCCCAATTCTTATTCATATCTGTATTTCATGCCATGAAGTTGCTTTAATATTTTCTTCAGCAAATGTTTCACATATCTGTAGCCATTCAGTAATGGTTATTTTGATGAAGAGGATGCTCATTCTGACACACTTCCATTTCCACCCCAGGATGCTGCTTCCCTTGCAGTTGCAATCCTGAAGAAAAAAATTCGAGGAAAGATTTTCTTGGGTTGTGATAATCATCCTTTATCTAGGTTATATGCCATCTCTGTAATCTTGCAAATCCCATTCTGATTTCTCTCATATCTCTGGCTGCATTTTCTATTTAAACTCTCGTTCTACCCTGTATTCTTTATGTTTGCAGGCAAGAAATGATGGACCTAATTAATAGAAGTGGGAAGTTCAGTAAAAAATTTGATAAATTCACTGGTCAGTCCGTTTCTTCTTGTGAAATTTATACCTCAAGTTTGCTGCCATTATTTTCTCGGCGATGTTCTTCATGTGATTGTCACCACTTTCTGGAATAAAAGTATAACACATCAATATTTTCCATAACTCATTTTTGGTTCCTTAAAATTTCTTCCTCACGTGGGAATTTTATAGAAGATTTCTGCAACAATCACTTCAAATCAGTAACTTTTCAAGTGCTTTTCTTTCTTTATGCATAAATTTTCATTCTGATTGATGTTTACCTTGCCATTTCAGGAACTAATGATCCTCTTGGTAAGAGATTGAGCAACTCCAAAACTCGCAAGGAAATAGGGTGGGAGCCAAAGTACCCTAGCTTTGCTCATTTCCTTGAGACCATATGAAGAACTCTTTTTAAGTTCATCTTTAACCAGTGTGAAGTGACGCATCACTTAGAGAAGGGCCGTCAGTTGCTTATTTCATGTGAAACATTGACTCAGACTCATTTGATCATTCAGCATTTCTTAATGTCAACGTCACTCCTAGAAAGGTTATTCTCATTTCTAAAATGACGCGCTCGAGCTTCCTTTGGTATAAGGGAATTGAATTCTTATTCTCTTGATCCTTGTTGTAATGTCTTGTTATTTTTTGTAGTCTTCAATCATTCAGTCTTTCTGAGTTTAAGCTCAATGTATTAGATGTAATCAGGATATTCTGGTGTCATTATCAGAACAATGTGTAAGGTCCATTAGTGCGATAAGCAATATGCTAAATTATATACATTTGTGAGATCTTTAACTCAACCTGCTCCCCTTTCCTTTTATCTCCAAAGAAGTGGCAAATTTGGGGCTCATTGGGCATGGCATAATAACTCAACTCATTTACACAAGGACACAGAAGCTACTACAGAAACAGTATCGTCTTGAATGTAAATTCAATTGATTAACCAATAATTACACCTTAAAGCTACATTATTATTATTTACAATTTATTATAAGGTTTCAAGAAATGACAAGATTGCTAAACTGGCTGCCCAGACATCACTGTCCAGCACATGCTCCTCTGGTGAGTGACTTATGCCTCCACGACAACGCACAAAGAGCATTCCCACCTGTTCAAATTCTTACTCATTGTCATATCCTGCTGGGGAAATTACATATCAACTAGCAAACAGAGAAGAGAAATGTAACCTTGGTTAAATGAGACATGGCCATTGCATCATGCCCGGCTCCACTCATTAGGACTGGCACTTCACCTTGAATGTCGCCCTCCATTCTCTTGAGTGTTGAGTAGGCCGCAGACTTAAGCTGTGAACTCAGTTCAGAATCACAAGCCACAGCACCTGCATCATGCTGAGGTCAACAGCAAAGAAAGTCATTGACCATACTTCCTTAAACGTTATAGCAAGGTTTTCACTTATCCTTAAACGTTATAGCAAGGTTTTCACTTAAGAGTTTCAGCTTGTATGTTTAAATAATCTAACATGATATCAAAGTCTGCATAACTATGTGTTTATTAGTTCAACCACCACCAGTGTTGAGTGGTTTTTCCATTTGGTGTCAGTCCAAAAAATAAGGCAGTTAAATCTTTGTCATTCTAATAATAGGTTCAAAACAAGATACGGAAGGTTTATAACTCTTCCATACTTCAAATCCAAGGGAATGCTATTCAACAAACAAATGATGGCCCATACCTTGCGTTCGATGTTACAGGAAACAGAACGCTTGTCACATAGCTGATACATGCGCCTAGATAATTCGTAAATGACAGCCTCGCGTCCAGTATCATCCATTGCTCGTATGTCCACAGTATATGTGACCTGCAGCAATATGGTATATTATCATCGAAGTTATTAACTCTGACTATAAGGAGGAATATAAGGCATTCCCACTTGGACTTCTTCAGGTCAGCAGCGTTTGAGAGATTTAGCTCTTGCCTGGCCTGGAATGACATTACTGGCACTTGGCCATGTTGATATTTCACCTACTGTACAGACAAGAGAACTTGAAAGTGATTTCACCGAATTATCTCCACATTGATGACCATAAGAAAGGTACTCTTCAGGATTTTTACAGAGGCTTTCCAGAGTTAAAATCAATTCAGCTGCAGCAGCCATAGGGTCTTGGCGCATAGACATTGGGACTGTTCCAGCATGACCTTGTGAACCTCTCACTGTAACCTGCATAGATGATGATTTTTAAGTAAATTAAGATCAGAATGAGAAGGGTCACACCAGTAAGGATGTTTTCACATGTAAGGGGTTTGACGTGTTATGACCCTGCTAGGTTCTTTGAGCATCCGAATTCGGTACTCTCCTCATCCATAAGATGATATCTTAATCATCTAGATTTGATCTGAACTGTCTAGCTTTAAAATTGAAAAAAAAATTATTTAGCAGTTAGAAGATTATTTTACATTATGCACCTGTTTAAATAAAAAATTATTCATATATTAAGAATAAAATAAAAGATAGACTGTTCAATTTTAATGTGAATGGTACATATTAAAAGATGTTTGACCCAAAAAAAAAGGGTACAGATTAAAAGATGAGAATAGAGCATGGAAGCCAAATTTGTAGCACTCCCTGATATACTCAATATCAAACATAAATTAAAGACACCTAATGCCCTGTCTACTAAAATCGAATCTCTCAATTCTAGTTCATTTCATTTAGCTTGTGGTATTATTTTGGTACCGTTTTAGTGCGCCACCTAGATTTTCTGAGAACTCTTCTTTATCCCCTAATGAAATGCAGAGCCCTGCTCAACTCAGCATGAAGAAAGCTCCTATTTGAAATCTGACCTATGATATTTGTGTTGCACGGCCGTGTAGATTTATACTAGCAGTTAAGTTGGATCTTTTGCAGTAATAGATCAGAAGCATGTGTTTTACATTATCCTTTTCTAGTAAGTGCCATTTAGATAAAGTTCAGGCTGAAATCTTTTAAATGTTCACCTTCAATCGAGTCTGGCCAGCTATGCCTTTAACCACACCAAGGGGATAACCAAACCGTTCTAGCACAGGACCTTGCTCAATGTGAACCTGCAGCCGGGAAAAAATGTGCACATAGATTTTCAATTAGAACGCTTCAGAGATTATGGAGAAAAACAGCTGTATAGTTGAAGAAAGCAAATTTCTGCTATACCTCAACATATCCCCAAACAGATGTTGGGTCATACTTGAGCTTTGAAAGACTCTCCTCTGTGACTTCTAAAGAGTTCTCCTTAAGAACATCTTCCACTGCCATGCCCCTGTATATGAGAGAGATTCAATATAAGAAATTTCATTGGAGACATAGCCAGGAAGTCACTAGTTGAAACCTCTTGTCAGTTGTCTTTAAAGCTTTTGCTGGTAAAATTCCTGCTATAGCGCCACTGCCCAAGAAGGTAGTTTGAAACCTCACTCCTTCTTCATCACTAAAAGCAATCACCTGCAGGATTAACTTAAGGACATGAATTAAGATGACGTGAAGAAAAACGAAACCTAGCTTCTAACATGTCCAGTGTTTTCCTCCACATCTTATGAAATGATATTTCTTGGGGCATATCCTTTTTAATGAGCACAAATTAGTGTTGCATTTTGGTAAAATTGAAAAGGAACATAGATGGGATGCACTACAAACACTTTTCAACTTAACCTTTGATTTTTTTTTTTTTTTTTTTTTGGGGCCAAAATTTAACCTTTGAATATCATAACTTTTATAACTGAGAAGTTACAAGGCTAACCTCGACAGGGCGCCTTAGCTGACCAAGTTTTCCAGTCATATGCAAGGCCTTTAATGCAGACAATGCAGAGATTATTCCAAGTGATCCATCAAACATCCCAGCATCAACGACAGTATCCTAATCAAAAGAATAAGAAAACACTAATATAGATAGGGGAAAAAGTTTCACCAATGGTTAAGACATATAATACAAGTTTCGAGGACATAAATGCGTCACCATGTGAGAACCAATCAATAAAGCCTCAGCATCTGCATTTGCACCCTCCGCCCGACCATGAACATTCCCCATTTCGTCCACCCACCTGGACATAGGCATAATCATCAGTCCAACTTCCAAAAACCAAATGTTCAGAGCTCAAGAAGCCAAAAAGCTGACGTTCTCAAACCAGCATCTTCCATCCATGCTCGAATAAGATTGATTGCCCTCATGGATGCCGGACTCAAAAATGTCCTCTCCAAATAGTCACGAGCATCGCTTACCTGTTCATCCAGCAGCAACATTAACTTTTAAGAATGAATACAGTCAACTTATGATACACCAGCTACCAGAACGGAATAACCTCCAAGTACAGGTAATTTGAAGAAATACCAAAGCTACCAATTAAAATCTACTAGTCATGGCGGTTCACAATATGAAATAATAAAAAAAAAAAACACACACACACACACACATTCCCATTCTTAAGTTTTTGCTATTAGATTCTTTAATACAATAATTATATGAGAAGAATCATTTTCTAAGGTGTCAATACTAAAGTGCGAAGTTTTATCATATGTTCACATATCATCCTTTTATCAGAGAACTGATAGTCAGCACCCCCAAAAAAAAAACTTTACATAGGTATTGTGGTTCACATTATTGCCAAAACTTTGATAAGGGTAGAATTTTTATTTAAGTTGGGAAAAAAAAAGTAGAATTTCGGAAAAAGCCATGCTTTTGTGAAACTGTCAGAGATTTCAACTGATATATGAAACTTGGTTACACAATACACACGTCCCAGAATGTTACTAGTAGTAATTTAGATTGAAAAATCATAACTCATAATCAAGGAGGAGTTTAGCTTAGTTACCTTTCCAAGTTCATAGAGTCGAGCCACTGCCTCATCTCTTAGAATTTTGGGGAATAAATCGCTTCTGTTTTCTAAATCTTCAGTTCCATTACCTAATCATTGCAAACAAGTGAACAACTACTTAGCACGTCCATCGAGTCATGGCCAATCCATCAACAAGAAATATGAATGTTTCTTTATTTTTTAAATCGTTTTCTTAAATAGTGGGTTTCTTATCATAAATCAACGGATGAATCCCAATTGTCAATGCTAGAGTATTCATCACTGCCTTTTCTTTTTGCAAACAGAGATCTGGCCTGCAGATAAAGTAGCCCATATCCTGCTATGACCATTCCGATCCATTTATAAATGATTTGAACATAGACGTCAACGTTAAAGTATTAAACTATCACTCATCATTGTCAATAATAAGAGTTGAGAAGCTTCAAGTCAATACAAATCCGCCTGGCTGAATCTTTCAAAAGGTATTCAGAAAATAAAATTATAAATGTAACCACCACGTGAGACAGTGCATCCTCTCGCGAAAGTTCAAAAGCAACTTAATGTCAAAAAGAATGATCATGATAAAAACAAATCAAATCGGTTCAACTCTTAAGAACTAATCAGAAACATGAGCAAGTGGAAAACTTGACTTCGACCCAAAAGACACACCGAGGTAGACATGAGGAACAAAATACCCCCAGTAAAATAATCTAGCCTAAACTCCTTTCTTTTCTGAGATTTACATCGTCAGGATACGTACGGCAAGTTGCAAAAGAAAACAAAACGGAAGTGAAAATTACCAGAAAACACAAAGGCAGAAGAGGAAGAAGATAAGAGACAGAAGAAGAAGAAAAAGAAGAGGCGGTGGGGGATCAAAATCGAGGAAGAGCAATAAGTGGGTTCACGAGATTTGAAGCATCTGATAATGGAGCAAGTCATGGTGGGTTCGAGAAGGAGAAGGAGAAGCAGGGAGGGGCAGAGCTTGGCTGATGATTCGTTCTCCCACGGCTTCT